TAGAAAATGTGGGAACCTCGACGTCTCACAAATTTATGGGTCTCAACGGCCTGTTACAGGGATAGCTTTGCTTTTACTTACTTTTATATGTGATGAAGTGTTTTCAGGAGTTGTTTTATTTGTTTCCTAACCCCTTACAACATTCCCCACTTCCTTCGTTTCATAAATTGCTTCCCACTTCGTGGTCTTCTTTTGTCTCTCCCGACAGGTACCAAAGTTATACCTTAAATAGCCATGAAGATTTCCCCAAACGTTCTTTTCAGTCTACTTTCTTATATACATGTGCTTGTGTACAAAACGCTAAGACTTGCTCTTCTCTAGATGTTCTGCCGTTACGTATGTTAACCAGATATTAGTTAATTTTAATTTAGGTTAACATATTTTAGTTAGGAAATATCTTCTTCAGAAGCTATACGTAATTCTGACATACACTGCAACAATTTTAGCAACACAGACAACAGGACCGTGCCATAACTCAGGCGGTTAGTTGCCGGCTTCCCACCGCGGCGGCCTGGGTTCGATCCCAGATCAGGTTATGGCCGACGTATCTAGTGGACTCAATCTCACCCCGCCCCAAGAAAATTAAAAAAGTAGACAATACTTGATGATGGCCGTATACAGCCGAAGCATGTAGTGAGGAAGAAGGGTGACTACGTAATAAGTTGCATGTAAGACGGAAATATACACACGAAAGATATCTGAATATAACAAAAAAAAACTCCGTAGTTTTAGTCCGCGAACTATACCGACCGAGCGCCCGCCGCTTGTCGCCGAAGTTAGTACGATCTTTTGCGGATAGAGGGTGTCGCGTGGTCAGCGCAACGAAAGGATGCTTAAATACAGTAACGGGAGGAGAAAATGGCAGCAGTGTAAAATATTCCTGAGTCGATATTACAGTGTCCACGTTTGTTGAAAGCAGTTCCTCGACCCAAAACTGTTGAATCCATACCGCCATTCTATCAAGTTTAGCTTCCTAGTATAAATATTAATATTTTTCCGGGCCCTTTCAATTTAGTAAAGTCTGATAATTTTAAGAAGTATTTTAGCAGATTTCCGTCAAAATGTCAATAGAATTTATGCTTATCATTTATAAAAGATTTCATTACACTTAGTCGCCGAATTACGACCGACTTCCGTTCTGACTGACAGGTCGTAAGTAGATCTGGTCGTATGTCGGCCATATATTTTTTTTCCTTCTTGGCACTACAGCCCCAGTGGGCCTAGGCGTACCTCCATGAACTTCTCCGTTCACTTCGGTTTTTCTAGATCTTACACATTCGGTAGGACCCCTTGGGCGGGTGATCAGCTGGTCGCAAGGCCTCTACCTGTACACAAACACAGAAAAACGCACACACACAAACTAAACATTCATGCCCTGAGTGGGATTCGAACCCACGATCCCGGTTTCCAAGCGAGCGAAGACAGTACATGCCTTAGACCGCTCGGCTACCGTGACCGACGGCCATATATTTTTTAACAGTATTTTTTAACCTTTCTAATCTTTTTATCATCTTTATAATTTATTTTTAAAAACTTTTACATTTTAATCATCTTCTATCTCTCTCTCTCTCTTTTTTTCCGGTCGTAAGTCGACGACCAAGTGTATTCAACGTTATGTTACCCAGATATTTTCAAGACTGCTATTACATAAAGTAGACTTTGACACGAGGCTCGTAATGAACAGAACAAGAGGAATCTGTTCAGAATAACACGGGAGTCCATGAATGAGCTTATGAATTCTCCAGTCCAGAATGTCACGTCGTGAAATTTCGAAAGCGAAGTCTCTGATATATGGAGGATTCTTTGCGAGCTCACATTGAGACTGAAGTGTCGGATGCTTTTTCTTTCAAGTCGGGCCGATCCGTAAAGTACAAGTTATCGTCTTGAAAGCAGCGTCTAGAAAATATGCTGTTGCGTGTGCGTGGTGGAAGGGAGCGCATCATCGCCAAAGGTTCCATACCTCCCCCCTCGCCACAGCCCTTCCACAAAAGCGAAGTGCCTGGTCTACTCGTGAAGGCGTGAAGGCGTTAAGAAATACTGCGTGCATAAAACAGCAGCCTCTAGCGCCATTTTTGTGTCATGGACTCGTCTGGCAGTCTGCTGAAGACTATGGCCCCCTTCTCAGAATAATGTTTTAAACTGAATAAAATAGAATACGTAGAATTACAAAGGAAATACAGTTATCAAAATATTAAAAACACAAATATGTGCTTCTTTATTACTTATGGAGCCGCCAGTTCTGCAGCTACTCAAGAATTTCCCACCACTTTATGGAAACCAAAGTTTCATTACCGTGTTCACAAGAGCCCTCCACTGGTCCCTATCCAGAGCTAGATGAATCCAATTCATACCATCCCATCCTGTCTCTTAAGATCCATTTTAATATTGTTCACCCACCTACGCTTTGGTCTTCCCAGTGGTCTCTTTCCTTCTTGCTTTCTCACCAATTTCCTATGTGCATCCCTCTTCTCCCCCATTCGTGTTACATGCCCTGCCTACCTCATTCTCCTCGACTTGATCCTTCTAATTATACTTAGAGAAGAGTACAAATTATGAAGTTCCTCAGTATGTAGTTTTACAAAGGAAATACAGTTATGAAAATATTAAAAACACAAATTAGTGATAGAGTAATATATGTGCTTCTATATTAACGCATCGAAATACAGGCAACTTAAAGTGGAATTTTGTTTAAAGATATCAGCATCGAACCCGGACCTCTAGATCTGTAGCCAGGGACTCTCACCACTAGATCACAGAGGCGGTCGTTTTGTTCATTTTAATTAATCAAGCTACTTAAATTATATTGAGCGGCTATGCATTTTTATTTCTACGGTTCAACAAGAAATAGTGGCTATTCTCAAATCAGTCTCTTGAAATTAGTCTTGTAATGAAATATAATCTATAATCGTACTTTCGCTGAGTTTCTCAATGTTATACTCCGAAACGTGTATAAATAAAAAACCCGCCACGTAAAACTTCACTTCACAACAAAACCATTTCATTTTTTAATTCTAACATTTATCAGAACAACTTCGGAGCTTTGTACTTAAGACTAGTTTTGTAAGCTTATAAGAAATGTATCGGCTCTTATATAAATGTATATGTTTTACATATAACCCCTAACTTACGTTAAGCAAAGTGGGCTGAAGTCTCAGTGATGGCTCTACACTCCATATGTGGGAGGCTGTTTCAAAAACAGTTGTAGTCTGCAAGCAAGCTATTCATAAACTTTCAGAACTCAGTCGTCTATTTGAGTTTTGTAATCTGTACCCAGCTAAGTGCCAGATCAGATGGAGCCCCCAACTTTCGAGTAAAGACTGATATAACCAGAGGTGGTTATAGCTGACTATGGAGCAGATGATAAGCAGGAGAACACTCAGACATAACCTCTACTGCCACTTCATTCTGACAATTGTACATTATTTACGCTCGGAATTAAGAAACCATATCCTTCAATTCATGTCTCTCGCCCATTTTAATTCGTATGTACAAAACAAACTCCGTGGTTTTAGTCCGCAAGCGAACTATACCGACCTAGCGACCGCCGCTTCTGGGCGAAGTTAGTGCCAACTTTAGCGGATAGAAGGTGTCACGTGGTCAGAGCAACGGATCCCCACGGCCGTTAATTTCGGTTTTCTAGACCGGAGCCGCTATTTCCTTTAAATAGCTCCTCAATTATCACGAGGCTGACCCCATTCCAGACTCACTACTTCTCAGAAAAGCAGCGCCGGGAATCGAACCCAGACCTCTGGATTTGTAGCCAGGAACTCTGACCACTAGACCACAGAGGCGGTCAATTCGTATATACACTCCCAGATTTTTATAAAATTTGTATTAAAAATCCGTATAAATGTGCTAGGAAAATATGGTTTTGAGTGCTGCAGCTCGAGTATAACTGCCACTTTACTTCGAGATATGAAGAACAGCTGCCAGTATTTATTTAATTTAATAAGGCACGTGTAATAAATCTTGACAAGATAAACATTTCGAGTTGCACACATAGAGTGAGCATGGAGAACGGTAATGGAAGCTGTTAGTGTACATCTTCATATTCACTTTGTAAGGACTGCCAGACAACTGATATTTTACTTAATGCAATAAGACTGCATTGATATAAACACGTGGTATAGATTTAATGTTTACAGAAGTGTTTCTTGTGCATGGAAATAAAATACTGTGACATGACGCCTGAAAGCAGGGATATTGAAGTCCGAAAAGACGGTCATTGCTAGACGACGGCTCGGTAATCATGTTTCCGTTACAACAAAAGCAGTGAATAAATCATTGCCTACGTAGCAAGTGTAAACACGTTCTCGTAACAACGCGTACATAAACAGTTACAACGGATATGAAAGAACAGAATTTTTCAATGAGGTGCGTTCTATCCCAGCCGCGCGGCGAATGTAGACCAGACCAGGAGTGTGAGTATCCGATAAACCGATTTACAATCAAACCCCGTCTACTAGTCACTAATACACGTTACAATATAAAGAACAAAAAAAAAAAGAAGACACATTACAAATTACTGGAAGTTTCACACCGTTAGAAATGTATTCCCTGTTTCCCTTTATTCCCTTGCTCATAACGATGACTCATATTCAGCTTACTGGTGGAGACAGTAGCACAGCCGAAACGTCGCTTTTCTGCATGAGTAGTGCTTTCCTGGAGGTTACGTCGCAATGTTCACCTGCAAACATCTACAACAATACACGGTGTATCATTCGTGACAATAGTACTCGTCATGGCCACGAGACCTGTTAGTGAACTTTCTCCGTCGCGTTCTTTTCAGAAAACTTGTAATTTCCACCTGGTCGTGTAGGTGGCAGAACTGTACACAACGCCATTAGTGTCATCTACTGACGAATATAGGAACTTTCAAAAGTTGTTTCAAGGGATAAAATCAGTCCGGGCATCTGGATTATTGAAAAAATCAGCGTTGAAGTAAAAAATAAATGCGCCGAATATTATAATAAAAATATAAAAAAACAAGCATTAAAGAAACCTTCTATACCGATGATGAGTAAAGATAGTCTTAAATCCTTCAAACACGAGTTCACAAATGAAATCTCTGAGGTACTCGTAACCGCTCTTGACTACTGTTTTAGTACCTTATGACCTGTAGTATATTACAGTGAGGAAAGCTGTGACTGGCTCTGACCGAAGAATAATGTGTTTCAGACTGAAGTGCAGTATTTTCCTTTCTAGTATTCTTCGACATTTCCACATTTCAATCGACTGTGGCAATCGATAGTCGTAAAAATGATGTATCGTATATAGATGTGCGAAGGTGTTGCCATGTATGATTGTTCATTCAGGAAGCTAGTATATAAACTAATTTCAGTTAAAGGTAAGGAAGCTTAACAATTCAGTAGTGTAACTGCGTTCGCGAGGTACTGAGTTAATTTCTCATTTATGGTTACTAGATCCAATCCAGAGCTATCTTTTCACGGAATTCTAACCTATCAAGCTTTAATGTAACACTGAATTCGGATTGTATTTGGTTAGTACGCCGAAATATCAATCGCACTATATTACATAACATAAGTGGTTACTGTACAGTAAAACGTATAGCATATGTCATCGTAATTGTCTTTACAGGCCACGTTTTGTTATATTACTTTTCCTTACCTTCAGCATTGTAACATCATAGAAGCCATTTGATCCAGAATCATTACAAGGGGTTTATTCTTATAGAGCACCGTGATTGTTAGTGCAGTTCCATTAACTTCTTGGTTATCAGAGGGGATACTTTACACGTTTGAATCCCGGTAGGTATTATTTAAGTATCTTATATCAGATCTGAATTTCTACAAAAACTACAAAGAAGACACAAGGGAATTATTGGGTTTTTGGACTCTGTCTATCATTCATTATTTTAAGAACACTGAAGAACATAACGTTTAGGAAACTGGATCTGTTTCCATCCTCAGGCAGAGGGATGGGAGACACCTACTCTGTTGGGTCCATCTGCAAACTGCACTGTATAAACTTCATGAAAAGTAACCAAATTTTTACTTTATTATTATTAGCTGGAACACTAGAAGTACTTTTACAGAGAAACCAAATGGAATTTTTCAAATATGTATTCTGTTAAAAATTGCGATAGAAAAATTAGAATTAATGTAAATAAATATTAGATTATTTGTAAGTAATTAAAACATAACATGTTACTAATTAAGCCATTCATGCAAAGCACTTCAAGTGAAGTGTTATGCTTTTTGTAATCAGTCAAAGAATTGATGTGGGATTCTTCTCTGTCTGCTGGTTTCACAATGTAGCTTTACTTAACTTCATCAGTGAAAGAGTGTTCACAGATATAAATGGTTCCAAGTAATCTTGCATAAACAGCTCCCATGTATCACAAATTCCAATAATTGCCTTTAGGGACACACTTATAAGCATGGAACAAAGAGCCTTCTTTGAATTTAGACCTAAGTTCATGCCTACAATGTAGGTCGATTAGTTCAAGCTGTAAAATAGGCCCACTGTCAGCTTATTGTGACATGTAGACCCATTGCCAAGTAATGGCTGTGTAAACAGGTGACAGTACAACAGCTGTTGCTAGGGAACCGCTCTGCAGACACATTGTTTCCCCAGCAATGAGAGAACATGCAATAATGGATGAGATTTGTCTGTACAGCCCATGCCAGTGGTTGGGTCAGTTGAGAGTTACATCACGTGAGAAGAGAGAAGATGGTATCTGAGGCTGCAGACAGTTCAGGAATCCAGAGGAAGGTGAACGTCTGCCATTGAAGCTGCTACCAAGCAACGGCTAATGAAGACTGAGAAGACATTATGTGTGCTGTAGTTATTTGTAGTCCCTCTACCATGTGACAATATGTTGCTTCAAAAGTGTTAGCAAATGTTTTGAACAGTGCCGTATCCTGATGAAAGTACAAAGATCTGGCCAGTATGTGATTCCAGGAGCTGTTCACTGTGTCAGACATACCAGCCACTTTTCTTCTTGTATTGCTGAAATATTTTCTTGTCGTTGGAAAGTAAGGGGCATGTGGTAGCATAGTTGGTTGAGGCACTATGCTACAAACCAGAAGGTTGCGTGTTCAAGTCCTGATGAGGTCATTGGATTTTTTCAATTTACCTAATCCTTACGGACACACTATGGTCCTGGGGTTGACTCAGCCTCTAACAGAAATGAGTACCAGATATATTCTTGGGGGTAAATGGAGGCCGGCACGTAGGGCTGACAACCTTGCTGCCATCTATGAGCCAATTGTCTAGAAAATGTGGGAACCTTGACGTCTCACAACCCTATGGGCCTCCACGTCCTGTTACAGGGATACCTTTGCTTTTTTTTTTAGTTTGAAAGTATTGAGTATAAATTTTCTAAAGCTGTGAATGAAATAATAATTTTATTTGAAAGGGCAGTGCTTTGTTTTACAGTCAACTTACAAGATAGCTCTTCCTTTGAGGCTCACTGATGAGATTGTGTAGGTACCCAGAAATGTCTGTCAGGAAGCCTGTACCACACTCCCAGCTTGCATCCTCAAAGTCACTGATTGGTTATCCTTTTTCAGTAATGAGAAATGTGATTTCTACTAACAATAACAGGAGACACTGCAGAACCATGAAGTTGTTATGCCAGTGTATTTCAGAGCAGTACTCACTGTCACCATGGAATGTCTTGAATGGTGTCATGTGAACTAATATAGTTAACTGCACTGAAGATATAATTTGTTTCAATTTCAGAACTAGGCCAGGTAGGCTTTGTTCATGGATAATGCAGTGACAGTGTTGACTGCTGTTTTGGATAGTGTCCATGTCTTCGAGTTTCGTCAAACAGTGGCTCAGAAACTAGATCTGCTTCTCTCATTTATCATAAGGAAAGAAATCATTTCTAGTCACTTTGGCACATTAAAATCACAATTTTTCATTTTCCAAAATGAATATAAGAAAAGTCAGTGAACCATGTCCAAAATAATAGTCATAGTTGTTATAAGACAGTCCTGTCAGTAATTATGCCTGCAAGTGTAGATAGTTTTAAATTATGCCTTTGATGACTACATGGAGATGGAGATCTGAAAGTTTTTCAGATAATTAAAAATCAGGCATCACACCATGTGCAGTTGAGATGGTATCCACATACAGTCAGTCAATGGTAAATACATTACGTAGGATTTTAGGTTCTCACAGCAGAGGTTGTCAATGGTTCTGTCTCCTGGGATATAACGCCATATTTTTTCCTTGGCACTACAGCCCCAGAGGGCCTAAGCCTACCTCCATGAACTTCTCCGTTCACTTCGGTTTTTCTAGATCTTACACATAGGGTAGGACTCCTTGAGCGAGTGATCAGCTCATCGCAAGGCCTCTACCTGTACACAAACACAGAAAAACGCACACACCCATGCCCTGAGTGGAATTCGAACCCATGATCCCGGCTTCCGAGCGAGCGAAGACAGTGCATGCCTTAGACCGCTCGGCTACCGTGACCCGCCATAATGCCATATAGTCCATTGAAATTCAACTGACATTTGTTGAATATCTCAGAAAGTTATGTTTAAACATCTTCTGTAATAGCTGATACTGTACCCACCTTTGTATTATCATTCACTTTGGACCCAAGGCTTTGAACTTCTCCATGCAGTTTGTGCAACAGACTGGTTTTGATAAGGAAGTTAACAGGTCCCCCCCCCCAATCAAAAAACTGCTTCCAGACAGTGTCGTTCCTTCTCTAGTTGATCTGGTCATCAGGAAAGAGACATTGGCCACTAAAGTCTACAGAAAACCCGCCCACACTGGCTGATATGTCAACTTCAAACCTAACGTACTGACATGTGAAAAGATATTTAATTCACAGTAAATCGTCTGCCATATGCCAAGAATGACAATGTGTTTAATAAAATTAGTACCCTGAGACAAGATCTTCAGCTGAGCGGTTATCCCCAAGGTTTCATTGACTCGGTTATTAATCCCAAGGGTAGCAGTCATCTGAATAAAGAGGGAAAACCTCTGGGCTCTGTGTAAATCCCATATGTGAATGGTGTTTTAGAGAAGTTCAAAGGTATAAGGAATTATTATTATTTAACTGCAAATGGGTTTTCACCCGGTGGCAGTGGTACTACATTAAGACAACAGACACATATAAACACATTCAAACAAAACACAGCACACAAATATTAGTACAAAAGTGAAACATACTATACAATAAACTAACAGTAATGAATGCGCAGTGTCATGTTCTCATTTTCCCTTCATTTTGCTTTACTACGCTTACTTAACCTTCCCATCCTTAACACTTTTCACTTCACTTTACTGCACTTTTTTTTGCTGATTTCCACCCCACCTTCACTTTGCCTCATTTATCATGGTCATCATTGATAAAACATCAGGACGACATTCAACACTAAACACACCCTTAGGAGTTTACTCATGAAAACCAGGCCAGAAAGATATCCGCAACAGACGGCACAGTGCATCTGTAACATTCCCTGTGAATGTGGCAGCAGCTGCATTGGCAAAGCAGGCAGACTTCTAGCTGTGTGGCTCTGTGAATATAGACACAAACTCAAAGAGGGTCTTCTAGAAAAATCAAAATTAGCCCAACATGCCTATGAAGAGAATTGTGAGGTAGGCTGGGACGAAGCTAGTAATTTGGAAATTGAAAATAACAGCAGGTGTAAGAAATACAAGGAATTGGCCCACATGCCATGCTTAAGCAGTTCGATCAGCCAACCCACTTTGAACATTTCTCCCATGTGGATCCCCTTTATCAGCAATGAGGTTTCCAACTCTCAGAGAAGAGCAGCATCGTGTGACAGACACTTCATGTAATGTTTTAGTCCACACATGGTGCTATTGGTAGGCACAAAATGCTTTCACAAATTCTGCATATAATCCAATGCATTGGTTTTCATGGATTATGTTTGTTACATAAAATTTTCATCTCCCTTTCCGTCTTAGTTTCAGGAATTTTTATTGCATATTTTCCTGTTATCTCCCTTTGACGTAGCCTGGTCTCAGGTATTTATATAGCTGTAGTTATACTGACACTGACCCCGCAAGTCGTACGAGGTGACGAAAAGGGAAGTCTCAAATCTGAGAGAGTAAAATATGGTCGCAAGTCCCAAGGGAATCAGACCCAAGAAAGACTGTGCTGGCAAGGGCCATCAGCATATACAAAAGACAGACCCATCCTCTCATCAGAGAGGGCACCCACAGAAACAAAATCGTAAATGTTAAACAGTAATAAATATCTGGTTATGAGCCCCAGATGGGGCTTGACACCAAGACTTATTGACTGACTGACTGTCAGTTGCAATATGACTTTGACTTTGGCACGAGTTGTCCAGTGGTTGAGGTTAGCTCTTCCTAAGGGACCCAACACAGTAGGTGTCCCCTCCCCCATTCACCTGAGGATGGAAACATCCAGTTTCTGGAACATTGTGTTATCTGGTTGTCAGGATACCGGGTGATGCAGAAACTCCAGAAACCCAGTAATTCTGATTTTTATACACCATCGTAAGAACCATTTAGAGTCTACTTGTTAACATTATGATCTTCTGCAATGTGATGCCATCTAATTTTGTAGATAAGGACAAACATATCAGAAAATCTGTTACCTCCATCTTAGAACAGTACCGTTCAAAGCTGAATTGCGAGTTAGAGAAAATAAAATTCTGTAAAATGTATAGGCTGCCTAAAGTTTTTCTAAACAATACATTCTGGAAGTCTGGAAATTTTCCATATAAAGGCATATTTAACATTTTTTTCAGCCCCAAAGTCACGGGACCTGAAAATATTTCCGTTTAAGTCAAATTCCGTTTCATAAAGGGTCCATTTAAGGCAGGTTTTACTGTATTTTATAATGACTGCTACCTCTTTGTTTCACCAGCTCACAAATTGGTGTGATTCTTCTTAATTTTCTTAAGAAAATCCATACAAAGAAATTTTCTTCAAATCTTTAATGTGTACTTCGTAAAGAAGTTATGTCTTTGTAATTCAGGTTCTCATGTGAGTAACTCTTTTATTTGCAGGATAGCCAATGCGATTGTACAACAGAACATTACAGAAGCTCTTGGATAAGTGGCCTGGAAAGAAATACCTAGGAATTTATAGATTTCTTCCTATCTTCTTTGTCCTGGGAGCTGCACTAGAATTCTCAATGATCAACTGGCATGTAGGGGAAGTAAACTTCTGTACGTAATGCCTATAGCATTTATTTACTAACGCACTTCCACACACACTACAGCGCTCAGTTATCAGTCAGTGTCTGATAAGGAAACCTGAATGTTAAATTGTAAGAGAAAGTTAGTGCAGAAATCTTTACCTTTTTGGGTTTTATAATCTTCTCATAATTCTAAGAGAGACTCTACCTTTAGGCCAAAAATTTGTTCTTAAATTTGCAAAATTCATACAGTGTCCTAGATATTGCCACATCCTTAGATCCTTTCCCATGTCAGTCCCTCAGTTACTCTTCAGAGACGTTCTCTTGTAAGTCAAACTCTGAATTCTTCAGGACTCAAAACTATTATCAATAAATAAACAAGTTGAAAGTTTGTCACTTTAACCATTTTGTAGATTCTAAAGGGTTCTGATGATGGTGGATGGCACAGAATTACTGGGTTTTTGGACTTTTCCATCGTTCGGAATTGTAGGTAATAGAGGAGACAACATTTCGGAAACTGGATCTGTTTCCATCTTCAAGTGAGAAAGGAAGACACCTACTCAGTTGGCCCCCTTGGGGCCCTTTTCTATTCTAGTTCTACGCATGTGCATGCTCTATCACAGTTTTTATTCTATGGTTTTCAGCTCACAGATGGCAGTGAGGTTGTCAGCCTTACACGCTGGCTGCTTTTTGCCCCCAGGAAGATTCCTGGTACTCATTTGTGTTAGAGGCTGAGTCTACCCCAGGGTCATATTGTGACTTGAAGGATTAGGTCAATTGAAAAATCAAATTTCCTCATCAGGCATCAAACCCACAACCCTCTGGCTTGTAGCATAGTGCCTCAACCAACTACGCTACCATGTGCCCTTGAATTGGGGCATGAACTTTTAAAATACCGACATCCCTTTGGTACAGATTGTATTTGTAGGTGCAGACCAGCATTTCAGAGGAACAGATTGCCCCCACTTTAAGGGGGTTGATTAATGGAAAATGTTAATAGAAAAGTTTGGTATTGAAACCAAATTAGCCTCTGCTTAGTAAAAAGTTGGTTGAGGCACTGTGGTATAAGTCGGAAGGGTGTGGGTTCGAGTTCTGTTGATGAGGTGATTGGATTTTTCAATTGACCTAATCCTTCCAGCTGCACTATGGCCCTGGGGTCGACTCAGCCTCTACAGAAATGAGCACTAGGAATCTTCCTGGGGGTAAAAGGCAGCAGGCATATAAGGTTGACAACCCCACTGGTGGTTCTGTATGGGTGTGAAACTTTGTCTCTGACATTAGGGGAGGAACATAGACTGAGGGTGTTTGAGAACAGGGTGTTGAGGAGAATATTTGGACCGAAGAGAGATGAAGTGACAGGAGGTTGGAGAAAACTACATAATGAGGAGCTTCATAACTTGTACTCTTCTCCAAGTATAATTAGAATGATCAAGTCAAGGAGGATGAGGTGGGCAGGGAATGTAGCACGAATGGGAGAGAAGAGGAATGCATATAGGATATTGGTGAGAAAAGCAGAAGGAAAGAGACCACTGGGAAGATCAAGGCATAAATGGGTGGACAATATTAAAATGGATCTTAGAGAGATAGGATTGGATGGCATGGATTGGATTGATGTGGCTCAGGATAGGGACCAGTGGAGGGCTGTTGTGAACACGGTAATGAACCTTCGGGTTCCATAAAATGCTGGGAAATTCTTGAGTAGCTGCAGATTTGGCTTCTCCTCAAGAAGGGCTGAGCTCCATGAGTAAGTAAGTGCATATGCCACAGAATAAAGCTTGCCATGGGACACATGAACACACTACGCTCCCATCTTTTGTTTCCAGCGAAAGAAAGTCTATATAAATTCATACTTCACTTAATAAAAATGAAATTAAAAAACACATTTTGCTGTCATGTAATTTATTCTTTAAAAGTCTTCTTGGCCTATTGCAGAATTCTAATAGTGTTTTAGTAATATTTGTACCTCAAGTGGTTGGTGTGATGATTACGCACACCTGATGAATAATGTATGTTCAATTGCAGATCGTACTTTCAAGCGTCGGCAGATACAGCAATTAGTTGAGGAACAAATGCAGCAAGAGAAGACAAACTAGCACCATGCCTGCTGGTGTATCATGGCCAACGTACTTGAAATTCTTTGTTGCCTCCATGGTGTCAATGGCGTTGGGAGCACAGGCTGTACATGTTTATTATCGCCCACTTGACGACCTTAACGAACTTGTGCAACAAGAAATCGAAAGAGTGAAAAAGTTAAAACCGTAGTCTCAACACCAGAGTGTTCTCCTAAACTTGCAGAATGCATTGAAAATCTTTAGTTCATGTAATCAAAAATATTAACAGCAATCTTAGGAATTTTTTAAAAATAGAATGCAGTTTAACGAACTTATTGTAAATAATGTGTATATTAATATGCTAATTATATTACACTGTGATAAATGATTTATATTTCCATATGTGATATTATTGAAATGGTAATAATTGAAGCTTTCAATAATACCACACACACATATGTATGTGTATATATATATATTGTGACTGTATGCCCCACACTTCATATTGTTTAAGTGGCTATAGAATTCCACTTATTGATTCTACCTGAATGAGAAGCACCCTCGGCGAGATGCCATCCCATGACCATATAATTGTTGGAATCCTCCTTAGGCTTATGGCACCATCATCAGTAGGATTTAGCTGTAATCTTCAGTCAGTTATAAGGAGGTATTTTGGAAAGTCAGTCCTTTTATTCTGAGTCTCCCAGGAGGAATGTCACCCTATGTGTGCTTCGTCCCTTACTTAATTTGTAATATGTAACAAAAAAAGCTGAAGTGAAGGTTTGAAGATAACATTTCCTCCTCCTCGTTGAACTGAATGCAAACAACAGACAGAATGGTGTTTTGGTGATACGGTATATGATCATTCCTGAAATGTATTCCCCTCGCGGTCAATAACACATCCATTTCCCTGAGATAAAGACCTCGTCTCGAATCCTAGTTTGTGGCAAATCTTATCAACGCTGCTGGAATATATAAATGCAATATAAATGTGTTTATGTGTGCGCATACACACACACATACGTCTATACAGCTGTCCCTGCGTTAACAGTGTTAATTAGTTCCATGAAATCATAATTAATTGAAATTATTATGATGCAAATATAGGAAATACAGGTTAAAAGCTTAATTGGTTCCAAGACAAGAAGTAGTTTACCTTTTTCACCCTAATAACATAGTTTACAATGCTTAAAGACACAGTTTTATTAAATAAACTTTATAAGAACATCTTATGTTCATGTTCACCAGTTCAGTACAGGTAGGATTATATGGCAAAAGTAAAAGAAGGAATACACCCATAACAACAAAAGTAAATAAAAATGTAACAAAAATGAAATAAGTAAAGAAATTACATAAATAGTCCTACCCACATTCAACCCTGATACTGATTCTGCTTCTCAGAGTTTCACACTGAGGTGGATAACCTGAACTTTGTAAGTCAATTATAAAGTAATGCCCTTTCATTCTTACCTACACATAAACAAGACTCATGTGTGTCAGAAAACAATTTCTCACACAGTTCTCGATTGAAATTTCATTACTTGGAGATAACAGTAAAGAACCAATGTCATGTCAGTCACAGGAGAGGAATACAAAGGGTATTTTGGTAGGATAAATTGAAGGATCTGTTGGGGATACAAATAGAATATTTAGATAGATGTTGTGGACAGGATTCTTTATTATTTTTATTGGAGTGAGAGCATTTGGTACTTAGGCTACTTGTAGCTTATTGTATCAATCCTAGATGATGTTGATTTAGAGCAGTTGGTGGAACGAAGATTGGCAGGGGAAATTGAAGTACAGTAGAACTTGGTTATAACGTCATCAAAGGGACCTAAAAATAGTGTCGTTATAAACGAATGTCGTTGTAACCGAAATGGGCACTTCCACAGTAGCCTTATGTTAGTCACGTAAAAATCTACCAAAAACCGAGTTAAAATGTTGCATTTTTTTAGTGAAATACGTAGTTAAGTACAGACTAACGTAACATTAACGTGGAATTGCCCAAATGTATAATATCAAAGACATATTACAGCGCTTTTCACTGACAATACACACAATATTTCACGAATCACTTTAACTTTCTCTTCAATGCTTAAAACTTTCCTTTTCATTGCCATGTTTTCGCTACTGCACTTCTCTGGGTTTAGGCAGGAACACTATAGGGTAAGTAGACAATGTGAGGTCCTGTTAGACGAGATTCTAGGAAAGGAATGCAGTTAACAACCTGCCGCGTCCTCTTGCACTATTCACGCAGTCCCACCCCACACCCTTGTTTTCGCATAAAACCCACGCTCCTCTTGCAGCCCGCGGTCGTATTCTTCCAGGACAGTCACGTCAGCAAGTAGAGAAAGTGAGGGTGGGCAGACACATCGAACTTTCCCACGATATCAGAGAAATTCAGGAATGAAAATGACGTTACATACGAGGTTGATGCATTTGTGCATGTCGTACTAAGCAAGGTATAAAAACAGTTGCTTTATGAGGAATTAGTTCGTACCATTGAATATTTGACGCAATAGACAAGGTGTCGCAGAAACCGATGTTGCTATAACCAAGTTTTACTGTACTTGGAGAAACGTACAGGTGGGCGGCTATAAGATGCAGCGGAGATTTCTCTGCGGCCAGGGACTGTACAGTGTGTATAAGTTCAAATTAAAATTTCCGTTAGTATAATCAAGTCTGTTAGCTGCTGGCACCTATGTATATGCAACTGAGAGCAAAGAAGGGTATGTTCTTAGAATGCTGCAGCGAAGTCTGGATGTGAGACGCAGTGTGAGAGCTGGAACAAAAGAAATGAAATTTTATGTCAAGAGAGTTAGATCGGTTGGGTGTCATATTGAACGGAGGAAGAACCCCCCTTGGTGAGTCATTTACAACATCTGTGTATTTTTTGGTAAGAGGATTACATACAGAAATGATCGAAGCCAATGCCTTCACAATATTTATTAAAGCATGTCCTTCATTGAAAAGTGAGCGATTAAGCTCTAAGATAAAATGTACCGTCCACAGAGCATTATTTATATCTGCAATGTTGTATGCTTGCCTTGGGATTTGTGGCAAATACGCACGTTCCAAAGTGCAGCGCTTAGAAATCAAGGTTCTCAACAGCAATATCCCAAGGTGTGGAGCGGTCAGTAATCAGAAGCCACAGAAGATCGTGAAAATGCAAATGTTCGGAATAGTGGATAAGGAGGCTATTGGCTATTGCCAAAAAAGCCATGTGCAGTATATACATATAGTTGTAAAGGTCGTGACATGCAGTTTAGAGGAGGAAGGACGAAATATAGAAAGTAATTTACTGTGACAAGTGAGAAGGGATAGACCCGTCTTGTCATCAGAATGAATTCCTATTAAAGGCCAAACAGTGACGCTTACTTCAAGACTAAGATCTGGTCATGAGCGCCTGAATCGGCTCTAAATTAAGAGAAAGTGACTGGCCAGTCGTAAAATGACTTTGAAATGAAGCGAGAAGTAAAGAGGAATTTTGTAAAGGTACAAACGAAGCGGTAGGATATGTGGAAGACAAAGTCGAATAGTTGTCATAACCGTGGCGGTCCTTTGGTAATGCAGTGGGGCATGGTTTAGGTACAGCGTTACTCAAACTATGGTCCGCGGACCACAAGTGGTCCTCGAGGTGTGCCCCTGTGGTCCTTCAAAAAAGACAGAAGAAACAATAAGATTCAAATGAATTGCATACCACACTATAGCTGGAAATCGCAGAGTTTGGAAAGTACACATGGCAATAGTCTTTCACTTTCTCTCCCAGTACTGACATTTTATGAAATTTATTACCCTACCCGCCTACCGACTACCCATTCTACTCTCAGCAACAAAAGAAGGATCTACACATCTGTGTGAGAAAGCGTTTTCATCACTAACTCAAATAAAAACAAAGTACCGAAATCAACTCGATGTATGCGAGGATCTCCGACTTAAGCTTGCCAGCTACATCCAAATATAGAACAACTGTGCAAGAACCGGCAGGCTCACCCATCTCATTAATGTGAGTACCAAGCTTTATTTATTTTTTTAGTTAATAAGTTAAAAATTATCCAAATTCTAATAGCCTAGAATTATTAAAAAACAAATATGAATTTTCTTCTATTAACTTAATTACTTAACACTAATATAAAATTAATTGAATTAAATGGATTTTAATTCTTTTTTAAAAATAAGTATACTGGTATTAAAATATGCTAAAAATGATAAACTTGCTTTCGAAGGAAAGACGAGAAAGGTGGTCCGCAGAACTGTTCTGACATAAAACTGCGTGTAGGAAGCAAGTCGTACTATATGAGGAAGGCGAAGGTAACAAATTTGTATATATCTGGGGGTACGTGGGTAAGACATTGGCGTGGTATTGGGAAGGTACGGGTTCGAGACCACGGTGTCTTTTGTCAATAGAAATTGAAAAGTGAATAAATAAATACGATTTTTCTGCAGCTATAAACCAAGTCGTAGAATATGAGGACGATCGCAGTGAGGTTACAGAGAGTGATGTGGTGGTGTAGAGGCAAGGCACCGGCGTTGTAAATTTATGGTCCGTGGTTCGAAAACACAAGTATTTTTGTAATAAGATTTTTATGGACTTATATAGGGAGATGTAACATAAGAGGAAGATTAAAGTTATAAAAATCCGTTGCATTGGTGGCTCATTGGTAAAGTACTGGCCTAATGTAACGGAGTTCCAAGGTTCGGAACCAACGAAAGTTTTATAAAATACAAGTGGAGTTAAATAAGATTTTTCTTGAATATAACCGAAGATGTAGCTCAAGAGGAAGATTAAAGAAAGAACATTTCAACGGCGCTGGTGGCTTAGGGGTAAGACATCAGCTTAGTGTTCAGAAGGTCCCTGGTTCAAAACCAATAGGATTTTTGTGGAAAAAATAATTAAAAGAATAAAACCAACGGCAGTGCAAGACGTGAAGAGATAGAGATAAGAAGGTGTGGGGGGGCCGAGGGAGGGTAGATTTTTTTTTTTT